TGACCTTCAATTTTGACCCACAATTTTCCCCTGGCGTTTGACCTTCAATTTTAATCCACAATTTTCTCCTGACGTTTGACCCACAATTTTCCTCTGGCGTTTGACCTTCAATTTTGACCCACAATTTTCCCATCGTGTTTGACCCGCGCTTTTAACCCTCAACCCTCATATTTCACCCATAATTTCAAATCCTCATTTTCTGCTGAAATTTTTTTTATAGGGAATGATAAATTACGGGAAAAAAGGGAAATTCCGGATTTAACAGATAAAGAGCTGCCAATTTACCGAGTGAAAAGCCCGAAATACATCTCGATAACGATTCGGCAGATCTCGTGCTGTCTCGTCCTCGATATTCCACCTCTCTCGATACAATAGATTCGATAGTACGAAAAGGGGCGTTTGGTACCGTGTGGTACGGCTTGACACAATCGGTTCCACTCGGCTCCACTCGTCAGGTACACCCAGTCCTGTACAGGTACGCACAGGTGTAAAATTACTCGTTACACCTGAAAACATTGCATTTTTTATTTAAAAAAAAAAACCTGAAGAAGTTGGGCGTACGAAAGGAAGATTGGAACAATCGGAAAAACATCTGTGATAAATTCTGGGAATTCTACGGGAGTTTAAGGTTAAATACCTCAGTGCCAACAAACCGTATACACAGGTATAGTGCATTAAAAATAAATTAGTGTGTGTTGTATATTCACAAGTATGGATACACTCACAGACAACAGATGCTCGGCATCATAATGCATAGTAATTCTCATCAAATCATAAAAATTCTGTCACTGAGAGAAATAAATTCTGTAGAATAAAATTTCTTTTGTGGATTAAATTCGATTCCTGCGAGTCAGTGTAAATATTTATAAATATTTATCCAAGTATTTGTAAATATCCGTGAATATTTCCGTGGAATGTGTGGAATTTTGAGTAATTATTTCCTCAGTGAAAGATTTCAGTGATGAATTCAATGATTTGTAATAAAATCGGTGGGAGAAATAATTTTTATTGAACTCCCATTGTTTTCTAGTCTATTTTCGGCGAAAGTTGACGTGTACAAGATACTTTTACCTATCCCCTCTCTTTGTCACTATGGCATGTTAACTAAAATCTGAACTATTGTTCGTTCGTCGGTGCAACAAGAAAATGTGGCTTTCATGTATTTTCCGTTAATTTTTCTTTGCATCCGAGTAAAACTCGCTCTAGAAATGAATCAAGAATAGAATTGATCTATCAATTCTATTTTTAGTTTATCATTTATCATTTAACAATTAGAGACTTTTAGCCTTGAGTCGTTGAAGAGATGTTAATTAAATTTGATACGAATTTTCATGTGTCATTTGACATTCTGTCTAGTAATGAATAATGGCATTCATGTTTCTTTCAGTTTTTATCACATTTTATCCACTGCATGATATTTTTCAAAGCCACAACGTTTTTTGATGACGCCATTTATTTTTAATTTGTTTTGGGTCTGTTTTGTTTTCTCTGATTGATAAAAATGAATTTTTAAAAGACACGGACGATTTAATCAATTCCCATCGAAATAAACTCACGCATTCCTTTGCTGACCGCAATATTAAATCTTTCTGAATAAAATTCCACTTCAGGATGTTCCTCGCGTGTTTTTTACGATAAGTCCCTCTTTCACCCGGGAAATATTTAATTTTCGTGGATTTAGAGGATTTAAATAAACCAACGAAAGTTTGTGCTATTGTTCTTTTATTAATTAATCTAAAGATTTAATTATTACGCGTTTATTTCACATGCGACTCGTTTACTTTCGTTGCAATATTTTTAATAATGCGGGAGCTTAAAATTAATTAACATTGAAATCAATTGATGTTTTTCCTCTTCGAATCGTGAGTTGGAATAAAAATCTGTTCTGCTCAGATCTAGTCTAATTGTTTATCGAAATAAAAATAAATTACGGGATTTTCTGGTGAATTTGGAGTAATCGGAATGGATTTTATTGTAATTAAATTCCTTGTCGTTCGGAAATTTAACAATTGCGAGAGTAAAAAGGGGGATTCCATTTTATCAAGAGACATAAAGTACCGTTGAATGTAGAACAACTGGAATTTATCGATTCAATGAGCATTGACCAACATTTATTGGAATAGTTAAATAACTCTCGCCATAAATAAATTGCGTATCACAATTTATGTTGCAGTTAATTAACTCTACAATCCGTTCGTTACAATTTTTTAAAATGACAACTTCCCAGGACAGAACGACTTCCCGTTAATTTTTTTATTTATTCAGAACGACTTTAACATCGGAAAATGACAGGGGAATGCATTCCACATGTGGATCTGCTGTACGCAGCGATAATTTATTCCGCGTGTGACATGAAAAATTGTTAAATTATTTAAAAGAGAATAATCGCTGGGAATAATTTCTGACTGAATTTTCTCGTTAAATTTATTTGCGCAACTGTAAATTATGCAATCGGTTGTAATAGATAAATTTTCAAGGTCATATATATTTGGCGGGGAAAATGGTAAACGCAAAATGATTCTGCCAGAAGTTCAAACCGATAGAATATACTGCACCTATTTTAAATGTCAACGATAACAATCCGATGTATCCTCCATATTTTTTATAAATTTTTAACACATAGTAATAATTCAAACAGCAATTTAAAATGAAAGAGGAAAATAAAGAGAATAAAGATTGTTTTTAAAAGTATTTAAACATTTTTATTTGCAGGATATCTTCTAAAATGAGAATGCAATTATCTTGGGAAACGACAGAGGACCGATAAAAAATATTCGTAGAATGGTAAATTGGGGTTTCTCCACAGAAGGTCATCCCGACTCTCTCGATAGCTGTAAACCCGCGAGTAATGCCGAAGAAACGCAGTCCACCTACGCCTCACCTATGGGACTGAATGACGTCAGCCCTGAGAATGATGGGAGTACTGTGACCTCAGTCACAACAATCACCTCGACAGTTCCCAGGATAAACAATGATTCCCCCCTGAAGAATGTCACCGGTAGGCGTGATCTGTCGTCGGACAGTGATCCACTAGGTGCTAAGAGCCAGAGTGGTCCCCCATCGCTATCAACACCAGTCAACAATTCACAAACAACACCAACAATAACAGCTGGACTGGTACAACCGAGTGAAGAGAATTACGAGGGTTTTGGTTACGTTGAGGAGTTGTCACCGAGTCAGGGATCAAGTAGCTGCAGCTCAGCGCCATCACCAACGAACGGACAATCGTCCAGCACGAAAAATTTCAATAATAGTCCTGTCGGTTCAACATTGGGACGACATACCTGGCTGAGGACATCGCTGAGACGTACACCAGCCTCTGGGAAGAGACAACTAGGGTCAAATGCATTAGCAACTCAATTGTACAGAAGTGGAAGTTTTAACAGCTCTGGTAGAGGCTCCACTTGTGATACAACTGACGATATGTACAGTGATATTTCACTGGAGGATGACGTTATTGATTTGAATCATCGTGTCAGGATGATCCAGGAGCAGATGGATGCACTTGTGGATAATCAGTCGAGCTTGTCCATAAGTTCGGAGAGATATGCCAGAGTCAAGGAGGAGAATGCAACACTTCAGGCTAGAGTTCTGATGCTTGAGGAGGCAGCTAAGGATGCTGAGGCGAGAAATGATGAGAAAATTAAGGATGAGCAGAGGAGGCACAAGGAGTGGGTGGCAAGAATCGAGAGGGAGAAACAGCTGGAGCTGGAGAATTGTGGAATCAAGATGCAGGGGCTGGAGGTAGAGAATAATCAATTGAGGGAGCAGGTGACGAGGCTCAGACAGCAGATGAATGTCTTCAAGGAGGAGAGGGAGAGGCTGGAAAATTCTCTGGAGGAGGCGAATGCCAGTGGTGAAATGGCGAGACAGGGGGAGAGGGCTGCTGGTATCAGGGAGAGTGAGCTCAGGATGATGGTGGATGCTGCTAAGGAGGAGCTTGCGGCTAGGGCTAGGGATCGAGGGAGAATCGAGGAGTTGCTTGTCGAGGTGGCGAGATTACAAGCTAGGAATAAAAGTTTGGAGGAGTCCAGGGATGAATTGCAGGCGGCAGCTGCACTTCAGGTTGGTAGAGAACTTCTGCTCCTAAATCCTGCGACTCTGGAGAAGAACTCGAAGAGTCTAGCTGCGGAATTGTCTGATGGCTCCAGGGACAGGGTCGATGGCGACATAAAGAGCAGGAGTCTCGGGGAGGTACTCCAAGCTCTCAAGGAACAGCAGGAAGTCAATGCTCAATTGAGGGCGTATATTGATGGAATTCTATTAAATATTGTGGAAAATTATCCACAGCTATTGGAGGTCAAACAGCCACAGTGACCTGGGCATTTCGAGGGAATGGGTCGTGTGGAATGCATTTCAGATAAATTATTCGATATCCCAAAAATTGAATCTTCATCTTGGATACTTCGATGATTTATTCTGAAAATTTTGGGTGAGTTGCAGAGAAAAAAGGATTGATAAAAATTTGAAAGCCGAAATTTTTCTATTTAAATTTATTTCGGAAGTATTTTCGAAAATTGAAGTAATCAAAAATTAAAGTCAACTTATTTATTTACCACTTCTCTACTGAATTAAAATCTCTCCGGAGGAATTGAGTGATAAATTGGTATTGATCTTGGGTAATTAAACTAGTTTACTTTGTTTGATATATTGGTCCGTCCTTGAATCTCATAATAAATCGATTGTACATAATAATTTTATCAATATGTTAATATGATAATGAGGAATTTGTTGTCAATTGACTGAGGATTAGACATGTGATTTAACCAGTATCAGCAGCAGTGTTATTATTTTTCTATAATTGTATTGAAATACGATAGAGTATTTACCACTGTATTTATTTGATAAAAATTTATTCAGGATATTTTTCTGTCACTACGTAGCAATTAGTCACTCTGCAATGCATCGAGGGTGTTGGTAGCGTCTGATTATGTACTGTATACATAGAATATCAAAATACATTTAACGTATTAAAGAGAAATCTCATTACCGCGTAATACTAGAGTAAACAGGGGCAATTAATTAGAATAATTATTATTGATAATGGAAGAATCTTTTTAACGTGTATCGAATACGAATTAATGTGTATGAAATTCATAGATTGAGACACTAAATTTGTTATTTGTCAATATCATGTAATAAATTATATTTTTTAAATATATAAACGTGATGTGAGTTTTTTGTAAAAGAATAAAAGATAATTCTTCAATTGGTAAATTAAAAAAAAATTGCGAGACCAATTAGTTAATTTATTAAATATTTTATGAATCTAGTAGAAATTTAATGGAATTTATCAACAAATTCATTTCAAATCAAATAAAAGTCTAATAAAATTCTGTAATGTGACGTCATTGTTGTAGAATTGATATGACGTCTTGTTATCAGTGCAAATTGTGTTACAGGTGTAGGGGGCGTGTCTAACTGGGAGTGATAGCCACAGTGAACCCTTTGTTTTCATTTATTTATTAGAGATTGGGGATAAACAATTGGGGTAACAATCATGATATCCGAGAGAGATTATGCACCACTTAGTGCAGCTTGTGTGAGATCTCTGAATGATAAGATGTATGAAAAAAGAAAACCAGCTGCTGTGGAGATTGAAAAGTAAGGTTATGGATTATTTACATCTGTTCATGTCAAAATTATTTTCGTTTCGTGTACTCCTTGGGTTTTCCGACAAGATATCTTCCTTCGTAGAATTCTCTTGTCCCGAGATTATTATTTATATATATATTATTATCTCCACTTGAAAATTGAAAAATTACGTATGAATACATATTTTTTTAGGAGAATACCAAGATTTAAATATCATGATAAATAATAATATGTTTGTTAATAATTGACTGGAGAGAAAAAAATGTTTCCCGAAGCTGAAGTTTGAGGTGACATTTTTTGTCTGATGATATTCTTGTTGAATTAGCAGAAGAACTATTCTCTCAGCTAAAATACCACTGTATAATCTCCCCAGTGATTTTCACTGTTATTTACTATATTATTCATTAGTTTGGCCATCATTGATAGTTATTGATTGATGAATCAACCAGATTTAGAGGCAACAAATGATTTATCGAGTTGCATCAAACCACACGTTGACTCTGCACGTCCCCCATCATCAGACCAAATAATCTCGATATTTAAAACCGGAATAAATAAACTCTCATTTTTTTTTCTCTCCGTAATTTTCCTCGAGTGTGTAGTGATGATAGCCGTATCGTGGCTCAGCCACACGTACATTTTTTTCCCTTGAAAAATTGAAAAATTAAAAAATTGAAAATTTGAAAAATTAAAAAATTGAAAATTTGAAAAATTAAAAAATTGAAAAATTTACTGAAAAACAGATTGTACACGTCCCATATAATCAAACCTACATGTATATCAATATTTTCCTCAAAATAAATAGCGAAGTAAATATAAATGAATATTATTTTCAGAATGGTAAAAGAATTTTCAGCCAGGAACAACATCCCCCAGATTAAAAGGCTCTTAAAGGTCTTGGGTCAGGACTTCGCAACATCTCACAATTCCCACACGAGAAAGGGTGGACTGATAGGATTGGCCGCGATAGCCGTCGGCCTGGGAAAGGACACAGGACAATACACAGAGGAATTAATCCATCCTATCCTGGCATGCTTCTCCGATCCCGATGTCCATGTCCGATATTACGCCTGCGAGAGCCTTTACAATGTCGTTAAAATAGCGAGAGGGGCTGTTCTGCCCCTATTCACTGATATATTCGGAGCCCTCAGTAAACTCGCCTGCGATCCAGAGCAAAGCGTCAAAAATGCCACCGAATTGCTGGACAGATTGATGAAGGTAATTAAAAAATAATCTAATTTATACCCGAAAAAAAAATCAAAAGGATTCATTCCAATCGAACTATTCAAACAGAAATTCTTTCGGTTTTATTTTTTATCACGCCATCCGTAGAAATCGCTCGATGTCATGATCCTCTGGAATTCTTTGGGCTGTTCGTTATTTCGGAATGGAATTCCAGTAGGAATTTCTAGAGAATTTCAGTGATTTATTCCCGGATTACCAGATATAGAATTTCCAATTTATTTCGAGACCCGAATATCTGTTCTGTCGTGAGTTAAAATTAGGACGAGAACGAGGAATAACTGTTCAGTAGCTGTTTAATCATCCGCAAATGTTAAATTTAAACCGTGAAATTTCCTCTGAGATGAGATGATATTATATTTACATAGTAGTAGCTAAATTCATTTGAAATTCATGTAAACATCTTGGTTCAAAATTGAATATCCTCGAAGTACCTCTTTCGCTTCACTCCGACGCATTTGAATTCACAAAAACATGAACTTCTCTCCACTCCCATGCAAATCCTCTCCAATAAACCCCTCGGAAAACGCGCCTTCGATCATCCTTCAATTCAGAAGAAAAAGGATAAAGCCATTTGAATTGGATATAAAATGGTTGTTCATTATGAATTCATCTGAAAAGTGAGTGCTTGAAGGCAAAGTATGTTGATAACATCATCATCAACTTCTCGACTAAATCATCTCTCCAGAGAGTGAACTAGAATTTTTATTAACGATCTGTTCAGATAAATAAGAGAGAGTCAAAAAAATTTATTGGAAAATTTTCTTCAAAAATTGAAACAGTCACCACAAAAATATTACTGCAAACAATTAATTAATTTACAGTAATTTCTCAATAATTAAATAAATAATTTAGGGAGAACAATGAAGCAGAATAATTACCACAACTTGTTGCACTACGGAAAATCAATAAATGGCACGGGACGCGCGGAATTTAAAGATGGAAATGATAAAATGGAATAATTCGATGGAATAATGGAATGAATGATAAATTGGAAAATGGGGGGCCGATGGAATATCCACGGAAAGATAATGAGGAAAATGATAATGAGATATGATTAATGAATTTTAATCCGCAGGATATCGTGACGGAAAGCGGTATGTTCGACCTAGTGGGTTTCATGCCACTCCTGCGAGAGCAGATCTACACAAAAAATCCATTCGGCCGCCAATTCGTGATATCCTGGGTATCAGTCCTGGACGCAGTTCCAGACATGGATTTCGTGGTGATCCTCCCGGAGATTCTAGACGGTCTATACAAAATCCTGGAGGATCCAACACCCGAGATAAAACGAATAACCGATACAGTCCTCGGTGAATTCTTGCGCAGCATAAAAGCGAATCCATCCCGAGTTGATTTTCCAGGTATGATAAACATTCTGATAACTCACGCCCAGAGTACAGACGATTTGCTCCAGCTGACGGCTATTACGTGGATAAAAGAGTTTGTTAATCTCTCTGGACCTACGATGCTGCCCTACACATCTGGAATTCTCACAGCAATTCTTCCCTGTCTGGCGTACGATGGTGACAACAGGAAGAACATAAAAGACACGGCGACGCAGGTGAATTCGTCACTGATGAAACTCATCACGAGTAAAGAGACAATTCCATTGAAAGCTAACAGTATTCCTGAAGAGAAGGTGTCGAGAGTTATCGGTAAGCTTGAACAAACTGAGAAAAATCAGAAAGATCAGAAAGATCAGATTGATCAGGACCGAGTGATTCTAGCAGAGACTCTGGATCTCGTATCAGTGGTTGAAGTTCTAACAAAACACTTGATGCACACATCCGTTCAGACTAAAGTCGCCGTTTTAAAATGGATTCACCTACTCTTTCTAAACATTCCCCACAAAATGTACAATCACATCGAGGAATTGTTCACAGTATTGATGAGAATTCTGGGTGATACATCGGATGATGTTGTCCAGCAGACGCTCGTTGTCCTCGCTGAGATAATCGGATCAAATTCAGATTACACAGGGAGTGATCACGATAAAGAGTTCAAGAAGGAATCCCCATCTTCCAGTGTGGATTATATATCGGGTCCAGTGGGTAATAAATATTTTACCAAATTCATTGTTAATCTTTTGAGATTATTCTCGCAAAATCGCCACTTGCTGGAGGAACGTGGAGCATTTATAATCCGAGAACTATGTGTTTTGTTGAGTGCTGAGAAGATTTACAAGGCTTTAGCTGAGATTTTATTGGAGGAGCAGAATTTACGGTTCGCTTGCATCATGATTCAGTCGTTGAATGTGATATTGCTGACGAGTTCAGAGTTATTTGATCTACGGAACAAGTTGAAGAACTTGAAATCAGAGGACAGCAGAAATTTATTCGTCTGTCTGTACGAGTCGTGGTGTCACAATCCAGTGGCAACTGTTGCACTCTGTTTACTCGGTCAGAATTACTCACACGCCTGTGATCTCGTACGTTCATTCGCCAATATCGAAGTGACTGTTGAATTTCTAACAGAAATCGATAAACTCGTGCAGCTCATCGAGTCACCGATCTTCACGTATCTGAGATTAGAATTGCTGGAGAGGGAGAGGAATGAGGATCTTGTCCGCACACTTTACGGATTACTCATGATTCTACCTCAGAGCGATGCATTTGGTACATTGCATAGGCGATTGGCAGCCATTCCACCGGCTAGCATTAATTCTGGTGTTAATGATGATGAGAGACAGCGGATTATTGGGGGAGACAGTAAAATAGACTTTGGACGGCTTCTTCGGCATTTTGAAAGTGTCCAGGAGAAACACAAAGAGCAGAAGCATCGACACAGGTTAAATTTATTAGTTGAGAGAGATGTGTCTGAAGGAACGTGAGATTTAATTGGTGAATTTGTGATTTAACGAGTTAAGTGGACCCTGAGATACTCAAGATTTTGGAAAACTGAGATGTGATTGATCAAGTGATCTCGAGGAGAGAATAAAGTAATGCACACAATTACCAAAATATCTTTAATACATTGAACCAAATAATCCAATAAATTCATTTACATGTTTTAATTCCAGTGGTGACACGTTATTCAGAGATTCTGAGCTTTGGAAAGAATTCCTATGATGTGCTTGAATTCGCTTTTTATCCTTTCGGTCCTGTGGATGTCCTGTCCATCTGAGCCCTCGTCCTCTTCATCCTCATCCTCACTCTCACTAGGTCGTTGCAGTCTGCATGCCTCGGACAATCTCTCAACCCTCTCAAAGTCCTCATTATTCATCTTCACAATTCGTAGAATCTCCTGTTGCATATTATAAATATTTGTCCAGGTCTTGGTACCCTCCTCCCTGATGCAGCTGGGGAGGTGTGAGCTGTGCTCTGAAGTCCGACCACTTGGCAATTGCTTGAGTAATTTATGAAGTGCTTCGTGACGATGTGAGCTCTCATCGGTGAGTCGGTAAGAGATTACTTCCAAATTTCGCTCATAATTATCAAGATCTTTGTCGAGTAATTGAATCTGCAGGTAAACGGTCTGCGCTATTTTGTACCAATCGGCGAGTGACTCGGATCTCTGGATGATGGAGGGAATGCACTCCGTCTCGAGTAGCATCTTCATCCGCCTTCCAGTCTCGGTTACTTTGATCCTCTCGAGTACGTGAAACTGTTCGTCATTGTATGTTAGAGTTCTCGTTGCTCTGTCCCTCAGCAGATGCTGCCAGCCATCTCTCAGTCTGTCGACGAGGGTCGATGCCCTCTGACTCGCTTTAGTCCTCCATGGGCAAATTAATTGTCTCGTAGATGAGTCCCACTCACCCTGCAGAAGGCCGTCCTTAACGTACCTCTGGTACAGCTGATTCACAGCTGGTGCAATCTCACTGAACAGCTGCTTCGTCTTTGATTGGAATTCACTCTTCCATTCGTTGATATCGAATTGTTGGGTCTCGTGGGAAGACGTCGGTCTTATCTTCTCGGAGAGTTTATCGAATGTCTGCCTGCTGAAGAATTCGTAACGCTCGATAGCGATGAGTGTCTTCTCTTGGGACTTTGTCAGCTCTTTCAGGCGATCGACTTTCTGCAGGAGTTGCGTCAGCTGGGAGATGAGCAGTCCGATGAAAGATGTCACTGCATCCTGCGATAGTCTACTGGATGAGACTAGTTTGTCGATCGTTCTTTTGCAGGAGTGACCGGTGGAACAGGCAAGTTTCGCTTGACTCGCGTCATTTTCCACAGATACTATATTAGCGAATGTTGGAAAAACGATTGGAGTTTCAATTCCTGCGTATGATTTCGATTTGTCGGAAGGACCAACAGACGACAGAGATGAGACAACTGGTGTCTGGTTTGTTACATCATTTCCATGAGCTAGAGTGCTTGTGGGAGAGGTGTTAGTCTCAGAAATTGGAACAATCGGTGGAATGACATTATTATTGTCCCTGGAATACAGAGTCAGCGGATTATCAGCTGATATCTTGGCCAGAGGGTATCCCCTTGCCGGTGTTGATTCCTCTATTAGCATATTAAAAGGGGATTCCCCGAGTAGAATAATCTGAGTACTAGGAGCGACATCTGTCTGCTCCTGGATCGCAGCCCTGAGTGTGTGAAATTTATCATCAGGATGGAGATAGATCATTATCGATTGCATAGTGTGCATATTGAAGAGGTGAAATGCCTTTCTCGAGAGAATGTCTGTTACTTGAGAGAAAAATCTGTCAAAACTCCAGATTCTCTGTCTGTCGACTTCCAATAATCCTGCCAACAATGGAGTAACGATCTTCTTTATTCCAAAACTCAGTCTACAGTTCTTTGGGAGATCGCGACTCCACTCGATCGGTCCATTCTCGGTTGTCTGACTCCCGGAGATGACCCCTGACGATTTTTTTGTTGTAATGTGGAACATTGTCTCCTTGTTTCGACGACCACCGAATGGCCTGAAGGGGAGATTACCGGTGGCCACGTGGTACAGGGTGACACCGATTGACCACAGGTCGACTGTCGCCCCGAAGGTTTTACCTACGGGTTTTCTCAGGACTGCACGCTCGTACATGTCAGGGTGGAGGTATTCCTCGGTGCCATAGAGGGACATGAACTGCTGGTCCTCGTGGAGTTCACGAGCAGCTCCGAAGTCGGTTAACTTGTAGATTGTACTTCCATCATCGGCGATGTATTTCATAATGTTTCCGGGTTTTAAATCCCTGTGGACGAGGTTGTTGTCTCGTAGGTGTTTCATACCTGCGCACAGGTGCTCCACAACGAGAAGAAATTCCGACTCTGATAGGCCGTAGGTATTCTCAGGGTCGTCCAATATGTTGAAGAGACTTCCACCAGTGCACAACTCCATTACGATGACTTTGCCACGACCGTCTTGCTCTTCTTCGATTGCCAGGAGTTTAACTATGTTCTCGTGCTTGACTTTTTTCAGGACCTGAAATTCACGCATCTGGACGTCCATTGGGCGCATGTGGGAGAGTTGGTTGAACGTTTTAACCGCCACTGGTTGACCGTTATTTTTGTCAACACCTTGGAATACAGCACCTGTTGCACCTTTCCCCAGGACGCTTGTCGTGCACCAGACGTAATTCGCTGAGCCTCGGAGGTACGACATTTTCTTCGAATCTTGGACTACGAGATTGACGTTTTCAGTGCACCAGGTGAATTCAGGTCTTCACCTGAGGCTTTTAAATTATAAAAATATTGAGGGATTCGATGAACAAATAATTCCGGTTGAATCTTCGGATCTAGAAATCAGAATCGGATGAATAATTTTCAGTTCTTTTTTCATTTACCATGAATTTTTTTTCTTTTCATATATTCAGGCGAAATTAAACCCAGACTTATTTCATTTTTAAGATCCTAATAGCATTGCACAATTGTTTCATTTAAATCCGGTGTTTCGCTTTGCTCATAGTTTTATCGAAAAAAACCCGCGGAATCTGCTATAACTTTTTTATAGAGAAAAAGGGAAATGTATTTTTTTATGAAAATCCCACCATTTCCAGGGTTTAAAGATGTAAAGGATTTTTTACAGTTTCGTACGAATATATCGTGTCTAAAAGCAAAAAGTCGTATTTGTAGTGGATACGACCTTTTGCTTTTAGAAAACCCGTCAAAATGAATTACATCTCATGTTTAATTATTAACACAGATGAAAATTTTGTTTTGCAATTTTTGGAATCCCTTTTGTTTATAACAATTAGTTGAAAGAGATTTGGGACAATATGTGCGAACAAAACGTGAAATTCTGGTATTTTCGGAGTACGAAGAGAATTTTTATGAGTAATTTTAATAATTAGTGGTCAGAATGACTTATTAGCTTAGGTTTGGTCTTACCTGTGGTGTTTGTTAATTTTGTTTTTCCTTTGTTGATAATTTTGACGAGTTAATTAATTTTTAGGTTAAGCTTTCTAGATTTGATTGAGTTTTTTCCACATGACTCACGTTAACTCACAAAATCAATTCAATTATTAGTAACTATCATCCTCTGATTAAATTGCAAATCCCTCGATTGCTATTCGTTGAAAAGAGATATCACAGGTGAATGTCTTTATTATTGTTATGAAATTGAGAAAGTTGAAAGACACAATCCAACCCAACCCGACTACGAGAATTGAACACGAAATTTTTCCATCGGAGCGCAAACCATTTTCCAAATATCTCGGAAACCACGACTCCCAACAAAAAATGTCATTAAACAAATTTTGTAATTTATGAAATTCTCTTGAAAAAATTATTATGACTTTTTCGTCTTAACCCAGTGGTTCTCGAGATATACCGAGCAATCCTGAAAAAAAATTTCACTCAATTTTTCAATTGTTACGTATTCACGAATTTTATAACAAAAATCGCAGAAATCGACAAAAAAAAAGACATTTTCAAAATTCAGGGACAAATTAATTTCTTTCCTTTTAATAAATATTTCCATTTCCAAAAAACCACAGAATTTTTTTTAAGAAATGAAAAACAAAAGATCTAAAAATTTTTGAGATTGATTGAAATGCAGTTTATTTCGTCATTGTTATTTAATTTTATTGCAAAAATAATTTATACATCAAATGAAGTTTCAGGCATTTAAATTGTAGTCACGTGATTTAAATTCTATTTCTGTTTCTTTTTCCCAGCAGTCGGTGCAGGAGATTGAACAGCTGTTCAGATCGCTCCGAAGGCTCCGTATTTATTGTTGTTGCTGAATCCTTTCGAAAGCATGTGGGAACAACTAGGAGAGACTCCAAAATGTAAGCAATAATTATTTTAATTAATTAAATACCAGTGAATACGAGTAATATTTGATAATTCTGAATTTTCAGTCGCAACATGGGGGGCCATGCTAAATTATTATCGCAGCCATCATCCCATTATCATGGGTTTTGCCATTCTGGGGACTATCTCACTGAGTTGTTCGATCTACTTGCATGCTACTAAGGTTGATAAATACACAGCTGTAACGAAGTACAAGGAGACATTCATCGGTGAGTTCAAAATATTCGTGATAAACATAAAAATAAAATGGATATTCATTTCATTTTCACCCTGCGTAAAATCGGCGGAGTGAAATTAAACGATTTTTACGTCATTTTGAAGATAATTTTATAGACTTTAAAATGAGACCTGAATGATTCAAATCGCATTGCTTGATCTGGAGTTATTGACGATTTTACAAGGCTCACTTCACTTTTTTCTCAAGTGAGGTTATATAATTGAAGATCTGTGGACTTTTAGATTTTTCTAAGACTTTTAGCTCCGATTTTTCTCAGTTTTCATTCAATCCACGGAGTAAATGAACTGACGAATTGAGTATTAAATTAATTTGCGGATTATTTTAATAAAAAAACCGTACGATTTGATTTTTTATTAACGACTGGCATTCCGGAAATTTCCGTGGAAGTAAACGATAATATTATATTGATGAATCGACAAAAATTCGAGTAACTCTATACTTTTTATGAAATTCAACTAAATAATTAATTTTCAATATTCCGAATGAGAAATTCTCCTGAATTTTTTGTTCTACACACAATATTCTTCATTAAATCATTTTCTATTGAATGCATAATTCCAGATTTAGAGAAATAAATCTGATTAATTAAATTTTAATTCGGTAATTAGCCCTTCCCTTTTAGTAATGAATCTAATAAAAATGTTTCAGTGTACCGTCCAGACGATCCCCACCTCGAAATCATCAAGACGAGACCAATTGGATTGGATTGGTTCGACAAAAAATAAATATGTGAGCGGTTCACATTAAATAATAGAATATAGTGTACTAAATCCAATGAAAACATTTGAGAAATATGAATAATCATAAGTCTTAATAAATAATCTTCACTCTTGGCGAAAATTCCGTCTTCAGTCTCTGGTAATTTCATTTTTTATTTTTCGTTTGAATTAACGTAAGGGATTGACTCCTGACATTATTTACCGCTTGACGACGAATTATCGCGGGAATATAGAGCCATTTGCGTGGATCGTTTAAAATTTAAATTTCTCCCTGAAAAATGGCCGGGCATTTATCGTGAATTTTTCTTGGAAATAATCCCAAATAATGACCCAATTACCATTTCTATTTGCGTTTTTACGATTTGCCTCTGCCCGCAGAAATCCACTCCGAACGCTCAATAAACGGTGATAAGGATCTTCAATCTCAATCAGGCCCTATGTTATTAGTAGATAGAATAAGGACAAGCAGAAAATTGAAAATCCGACATTCTAAACAATTCGCCAGAGAAACCCTTCAAAATTGTGAGTCTTACCTATTTTTCCAAAATTATTTCCAAAATTATTGCCGACATTTCAAGGATATCTACGGAATTTCTTTAGTCTCTCATCATTCAATCCGCATTAATTATAAATAATTGCAGATTTTTCACTCAAGACAATCAATTCTCATAGATTATAATTTAAAAATCGAGAAAATGAAATTCAAATTTGATTTCATGGGAAAGAAAATAATATCTCCAAGAGATTAATTCCACCAATTTCATTAATTCGATTTCTATTTTGCACCTGTAACTCGAGGGTTTTTCAATTATCAATTCCATCCACCAATTAAACCAATACAAAACTCGAAAATCTGGTAGGATATCCTGAAAATATTGCCAATCAGTTATCCTCCAGGAATTCCTGAGAATTCCTCCAGCTGATGATTCGACCTCGACGAATAATTTCCCGCAATTCTCACCCCAAATTAAAGACACGCAATCACGCCACACGGTGACTTAAAAAAGGGGTTGTAAAACCCCGAGATTAGATTAACAGTAACCGAAGCAGAGATTACGAGGGTAAATGGGTTACAATAGAAGGCAACAGTGCAGAATGATGTAAAATAGTGTAGAGTAGGTGACGAGGGGTTTGAGGGTATCAGAGTCAAGCTGTTGTCCACCCCCTCATCCACCCTTAACTCCGGTATTTCCCAGTGGTAGAGGCATCCCCGAGGTTTTTAATGCGCAGGACTATCGTATCGTAACTGAGACGGTGTGGGTTCTCTGTGCTTTCACTCCTCTCGATTTTTGTGGAAATACTAGAACTACTGGAGTACGTCGAGCTGTGCAGACGATATTCCATCGTCCTAGTGTTTTAGACTAGCTAGTGCTCACGACACAATAATCCATAAGTCCATAATATTATAAACATTAATATTTATTCACCAACTCCACTGGTACATTGTCGAACCCTAGACTCCTAGTGGATCATTTAATCGGGAAACTGTTGCTCCGACGGCACGAGATCTCTTTTCAATCTTTCTATTTTCTGCTCTGCCTCTTCTGTCTTCACCAATTCACTCATTATTCTCATGAATCGTAACTGATTGACATTAAT